TTTTTTAAAATTCTTCTCAAAAACTGTTTTCAAATACTATTTTTTGAAATACAAACCAAACAAGTTCCTTTTTTCTCCATTTCCCTCTGAGAAGTGTCTCAATCACCACCTCTTATTTTTTAATTTTTTTGAATAGTTCCATTGCCTATTTTTTATGTCCTCTCTCACTCTCACTCTCACTCTCACACATTGGAGGCTGGACATTCGCCAATGCCTCCTCACTCTCCATCTATCCGTCTACCCCCTTCAACTCTCTCATCCCAACGCCACAAACAAGCGCCACCACTAGGCACTAGCACATTCGCTAGGTATTTCTTTCCCACCCATCTCTATGCTACACGCACACACAAACCCCAAATCCCCCCAAACCTAAGCCCTCCCTTTTTTTTTATTTACACAATATTTAGTTTTTTATGGAATTGATTGTGTCACCTTCATACATTTATGTCACTTAGATTTCATGCTTGAGCAAGTTCAAGAACTTTGAGATAGTTGGTCTAGGTTTCAACATCTCCGCTTATGTATATATAATTTGATATAGTTATCAATAATACAAGTGTAGCATAAGATAAACAAACAAACTACAAAGTCCTACTGAAGTGCAAAGGTTCTACCAATGAGTTGGGTCACAAAGAGAAACAATAACTAAAGAGATCGAGACTCAAATTTATACCCAGATCCAGATTTATGCTATTTCTTACTTGAGGAAAGTAAATCCATAGAGAATGAAGAAAGGATAACCATTGACTTCGACTATGAAGCGTACATCAATAAATCTAGATCTTTATGAGGAAATCCATAGAAAACATCTTACCTATTGCCTTTGACTTCGATTGTTCAAAGGTGTAAGGCTTTCGACTGTTCAGCACTTCAATTGAGTTGCATCACACACAAAGAGAGAGAAAGAGAGAGAGAGAGAGAGAGAGAGAGGTGTGAGGCTGTCGTACCTCAGACGTTTGTGAGAGGCAAAGAACACAAAAAGATTTAGGGCAAAAAATGCCTAAAAGGCCAAAACCCTGGTATTTATACCATTTTTATTAATCCAGTCAGTTTAATACAAACCGTCGGAGTTGAACGTTTTACTCACAAACGGGGCAATTTGGGGGGTTTCTTCCGAGTTTTGTGTCTAAATGATCCAATACACGAATCGGCCCGATATTGGCTCCAGTTTACCGGTTTACCAGAGAAACCCGCTGCGCTGGGTCGAATTTTAAAACACTGCATTAAAGTGTGACTCTAGAAAATAACATTATATGAAATTAAAGATCAACTGAATTCATAGTGTTGCCAGAAAGTGTGACTCAAAAAGAGCAATATCATACAAGAGTGATTTCATAATATTGATTTTAGAAAAATAACAACAAAAAAAAAATAAGACCCAAAAAATATAAATCACTATCAATTCATCCTCCATGATAAACGAGTGTCGAGTTTGAACTCACCGATCCTTAGAACCAAGTCGATTGAATCTTAAGGCTTCTAAACTCTGACAATCTAGAAAATTGCGTACATCCAGACATTGCAACTTGCAAGAACTTACTCAATTGAATCATTGTTCTCCTCAACGTCCAACAGACATGCCCAGTTATTGGGTAAAGATGATATACTTGAACTAAGGAGGAAAGTTTTTACTTATGGACAATGTCCTGAGTTGCAACCCATGTGCAGTTTCAATGCTGATGTCATTACTGCTTCTTCAGTAAAAGAAGGTCAAACATAGATGCTTCTATTAGCACAAAAAATGAGACTATTTATGAAAATCGAGGAAGAAAAAATAAGGCTCTGCAGAGTAACAATGCCGTGGATAAAAAAAACGAGTTTGAGAGAGAAAATAAATGGGGGAGAGAGAAAGAGAGAATTGGGAGATAGAGTAACGATGAGAGTCAATAAATAAAAAAAATATATAAAATCCTTTCAATTTAATAGAATTTTTTTAAAATTCATACGGTTAATTATTCATTAATTTAAAAAATCACCTAACAAATAAAATAAAATCAACTTATCCACGACATGTGCTAACTAGTTATGTGAGATTCATTTATCCACATGTTATGAGCATCTCCCATCTTTACTATTTTTTAAACTTAAATTTAAATTTGGGTTAATTTTTTTTAAAAATCTTCTCCAATTCTATACCAGTGTTTTAAAACCTGGTCCGATCCGACAAGTTGACCCGATAAACTGGTGAACCAGTGCTTAAACCGGGTTAGTTCATTTATTAGATCGTTTGTGTCACAAAATCGGGGTAAACCCAATGAACTCGAACGAATTTTAAAAAATCGACATGATCATTTAATTTCGTATAAAATGTTTGATTTTGCCTTTTCGGGGGCATTTTACCCTAAAATCTAAATCGTTCCCAGCCCCCCAACCCCCGCCCCCATTGCTCTGGAGTTTATTACCAAAAATACAGCTCTTTTCAAACATATTAATGGATATACGATAATTTTAAATTTATTTATCAATTTATGACACTTTTTAAAAACAGAATCAACAAATTCAATTTTAACAATAAAAATAAAATTAACAACCACATTTTTAATAAAAAAAAATGAAAAAACGTACTCAAAGAATACGCTTTCATTTTTCCACCAACAGATCACACATCCTTTCCTATCTTCCACTGTCAGAAGTGATGGGCCTTTTTTAATCGATACATGCAGTGAGTCAATGACATCCATTGTCATTTCATTACATCAATTATATTTTGGTAAAAGTATTAGTTAATGAAAATAGAGATTTTATAAAAATAAAATAATAACATGAAAATCACAAATAAAATAATAGTATTAAATAAAATTATGCTTATACCGGTGGCTGTGGGACTTTTAAGAAAAGAAAATCAGCTTAAAAAATTAATTTAAAAACTTGACCCTGAACATTTAAAAGATTTTATTTTCATAATTAATATCTTAATTCATAAAAAAAATTATCCAGTAATCCAAAATTTATTTTGAATATGTCAGATGATACAATTATTTTTTTATTTGATCAAATTGAATTAAAAATCAATTCTAATTTTTTAAAATTATACTTAGTCAATTTATTTGGATTGTGAAAAATTTATAAACCATAAAATTAAATTCGTCTCAAAATTATGTTACTAAATTATGTCTCGATATAATTATTGAATCAAGTTTGTTAATTGATCAATATTTAACGATCTTAAAATTAAGTCCTAATAAAATAATTGAATCGGGTTTGTTAATTGATTAATATTCAACGGATTTAATTTTTATGCCCTAATAAAATATTTGAATACTAATTGTTTTACAAGTGATAGTTTAAATGAATTTATGGAATAAAATGATTCTAGAAATACATGCAATGTGTGCAGCGTGATGCCAGAGTGCATTGCTAGAGACTCGGGAAGACTTGAGAAGCCGTGTGCAGGGTGCAGGGTGCAGGCGTGAGAAAGCGTATTCCCTAATTACACTTTCTAATTTTTTTTATCACAAAAAAGGGGTTGTTAATCTCATTTTTATTGTTAAAAGCGAAATTGTTAATTTTACTATCAAAAAGTGCCGTAAATCGATAAAAAAATTCAAAACTGCCGTATATCGATAAATATGTTTAAAAAGAACTATATTTTAGTAATAAACTCCATTGCTCTGAGACTCTCACATGCCTCCCTTCGCTTCTGTCTCTCTCCCTCTCACTTTCTGAGTTTTTGTGTTACGACTGTAAGTGGACAATAAAAGCTTAAGGGTGAAGGGACTTCTGCTTCTCTGCTTCAGGGACTTCTGCTTCAAAGAAGAGGCTGCTTCAAGTTTTAGATCTCTATTGTGGTAGCCAACAACAATTTCCATTGACAGCAGTAGGTACTACTCTGTCTCTCTCTCGTTATCTTTCTTAATTTCTCTCTATGCTATGTTAGATTTTTGATTTGTATACATTGAATATGTAATTAAGAGTAACCATACTCTACGTCTCTGCTATTTTTATTGAATCTGTATTTTTTATTTTTATACATTGAATCTAATTTTTGATTTGTGAATATTTTCATGCATGGCTTTTTTCCACATTGAATATGTGATTTATTAGAATGTTGTTGATGCTTTTGAAGCTTGAATTTAGATATATGGTGGTGTCTTTGTTGCTATGAAATGAGATTTTGTTGGGTTTATTGAAATTTTTTAGCCTATTTGTTATTATTTTATAATTATTTATTATATTATCGGTCTAACTAATGACTCAACGGTTGAACCATTAATCCAGTGACTCGATATCTTTGTCGGGTTGATATCCGGGCCAGGTTTTAAAACACTATTCTATACCCATATCTATATCAAATGAAGGAAGGCTCATTTTTTTTTTGTTCAAATTCATACAAAAAATCTTAGTAGTGAAATTTAACCTTCTTTTAAAAATTCAATAGTCATATCTTACCTCTTTTAAATTTGAATTTATTTCTATTTAAATTTAAAATTTTATATTAAAAAGATTTATACCAAATTAAATTTTTTATCGCTCAAACTTAAATAATAGTTTTTGAACGCTAAACCAAATATTGTATCATTAATGGCTATGCCCTGGGGCCGGCCCTGATTAAGTATATATCATTGTGACGACGCCAAACTAGGGGAGGGGGAGAAGGGTCGTATCTACAGGCTTCCCAGGCACCGCCGACTACTACCACCATTGGCGACATATGTACGTATTCGACTCTTATTTTTCGAGCGCTATAGCCTTGTTCCGATTCGTATTTTTTTTCTTCAATTTGTCATCCTTGGTTTGGCGACAAAGTTTGCAACTTTGAGATTTTTGGCTCCTTTTATTTATTTATGTTTGTTTTTGATCGACTTGTGTATTATGGGACTTGGGAGTCCTTGTATATTGTTTCAGCGGTGGTGCATTTGGTGGCTTTGTTTCTACCCTTACCTTGGTTGCTGTAAATTTTTGCACCTTTGAGAATGCTTGCTCCTTTTTTGCAGCTTAATTAAAATTACTTAAAATTCAGAGAGAGGGCAAAGGGAAGGACTTTTGCAACACTAGATCAAATGGAGAGAACTGTGGACGCTCATTCTACACATGCAAAGTTGCAAAAGGTGATTTGATGATTTGGTAGAGGGGACTTTGTTTTTCGATTTTGATTGTCATACATATGTTGAGTTTTGTTAATCTTGTGCACCGTCTTGATGGGGATAAGATATTTTAATTGGCCCCGCCAACAAGAAAAATGATCTTGTGCATCCCAGGTTTACATTTACCAAAAATTCCTTTGCAAATTTGTTTGCGAAAATGCAACAAGGTTAATCTTTTACGTTTTTCTGTGTCAAATAGCTAAGTTTTTCCAATTTTCCATGCAAGAACAAAAAAAAGTCCAAATACCCATGTTAACAAAACCCACAAATATCATACTGACTCTGTATGTAATCGTATTTGGGTGACAGGGAGACAATTACCTGGAGGAAGATCGGATTAGTCAACTGCCCGACGGCATTCTGATTACCATTCTGCATCAATTGTCGTTTTTGGAAGTACCAAGTACTTGTGTCCTCTCCAAGAGATGGAAATATCTGTGGATGCATGCTGGGGATCTGAACTTTTCTGTTCCAAAGAAGTTGTTAGCCATCCGGAAGGAACGCACATTAGTTAAGGTCGAAATGGCTAAATACATTAGTTGGGTGAATCGAGTTCTACAACTGCTTGACGGTGCATTTATCAATGAATTCAAAGTTAATTTTGGCTTGGACTCTAGGGATAATTGTGATATTGATGAGTGGATCAGCTTTGCATTTGGAAAGAAAGTTCAAAGACTAGAACTGGACCTAAAAGGAGCTGGGTATCAATATTTACCTAGTCACGCTAATCGTTATCACTTCCCGCATGAGGTTTATTCTCACATCAGAAGCCCTTATGGTTTGCCCTGCATTAGATTCCTAACACACCTCTCTTTGAAATTTGTCACTGTTGCTGCAGAGGTTGTTGAGCACTTCCTTTCCAACTGTCCACTTCTTGAACGGTTGTTTGTGCATGGCTCACCACATTTAGTAAATCTAAGAGTTGTTGGTCCTACCCTTCACTTGAAGTTCCCAGAGATATCTCGGTGCGATTATTTAGCAAGCCTTGAGATTGATGCTCCGAACCTCGTGTTGTTTATTTGTATTTCAATCTACCAAAAAACACATGTTCTTATTAGGCATGCTACAGTGGTGTCCACCATTTCATTTCTCTTCGTCTCTCGTCTTGTTGGAATCATATTCATCATCAATAATCAACCAAACCCTTGTACCCTGATGCACACATTTTTTTCCTAGTTTGCCGATGAACCGGTGGTGGTGTACTTGCTTCTATGCATCGTCACCCATAAAGATGTAAGTGTGACCCTCTTAATAACGCCCTCCATTCACACTGGCTACCCCCTCACTTTTTCTCTACCCTTAACATCGGTAGAGTCTTGCCACCACCACCACTTTTCCTACCATTTGGATTTTTTCAAATACCAAGAGAAGCCTTCACATGGTATACCCTCACATTGTTCTTTCAGTGTTCTTTTGTTAGAGATCGAGTGGTGCAAGAGGGAGAGACCCCACTTATCACAAAAATAAAGTGGGAGGCCCAGAAACTACCATCCTGTGGAGCAAGTGAAGGCAGCGGAAATAATGTCTGTGTCATCTTCTAGGTTGTTTTCAGTGCCAGTGTTAGGGCTTCTACATTAGGACCTCTTTAGAGCTTTCATTCTTCCCCAGTAGCATTGTGGCAAGTTTTTTCGAATTCTGGACAAAACATCTTAGTGGTTTTGTGTATTAATGTGACAATTGCATATAGGGGTGCAACTTGGACAGGCCAACCCGAATTCAACCCGAGTCCAACCAAAAAAAATTGGATTTGAGTTAAAATTTTTAAAACTTCTTCGATTGGATTTGAGAAAAAAAATTTCAACCCGAATTGAATTCAAGTAAACCTCAGGTTGAGGTCTCGAGTTGTCAGATTGAACCTGAATATACATAATATATAAATATATTTCAAGTCTTCATCTCTGCACCTCCATCACTCTCAGACTCCTTTCTCACTTGTCACTCATTTCTCATCTGGTCTCAGACTCTCAGTCTTCCTCTTTCCCTCGTCTAAATCTCGTCTTAGACTCTTAGCCTCTCTCTCTTACTTGTCACTTCTCTCTCTTTTATCAACCCGAATTAAGAAAACCCGAGATCAATCCGTATTAAGTAACTCAAATTCAACCCGAACCCGCCTGAATTAAATTTGGGCAATATTCGAGTAGAGTACCTCGAGTTGAGGTTGGGTTAGAGTTAAGATTATGATCAAAGATTATATACCTAGAGTTGAGTTAGGATTGACCTGCCTAACTCGCCAAGTTGCACCCCTAATTGGTAGACATGCTGGAGGTAAAATAGACGGTCACAAGAGAGAGGGGAGCTAAGATGAGGAACCTTGGTTTAGAAACGAGACCCAAATTCGGACAGAACATTGTTCTACATCGAAGCATTCAAGTTCTAAAGAAAAGATAAAGTTTGAGTTTGGGTAAATGATTTTCTTACTTAAAAAGGAGACAGCCAGATAAGATGGAGATGGAGTTCAATTTTTTTTTCAATGATTGGGTAATTGTTTTGCCAGTTTAAGTTAACAGGTCATTTTGCAATTCAAATATGGTTATGAGCGTTAATCGGCATCATTATGGAGCCTAACATTATACAAAACAGCTCATGGAAGCTATTAAAGAAAACTTGTCACGAGCTATGCATGTGATGTATTTTTTGTCTTCTGGACGGCTGATTAACTGTATGGGTTAGTTTGATTTGTAACGTTTTGATTTTGTTGAAGTCGTCCATTACTATTTTAATTGGGCAAGGTGATTATTTGTACATTTGTAATATTTCCTCTGTCTGTGTGTGTGTGTTTTTTTTTTTTTTTGGGGGGGGGGGGAGGGGGAGGGGGAGGTTGAACCTTTGTCATTCAAGTTATTTTTTCTGTTTACTTATTTTGTTTGCATTTTTGCATTGTAGTTTGTTTATGGAAATGTCTCAGTGATTTATTTTACGGTATAGAAATGTCTCCTAATTGGTGTTGTTTTGATAGAAGTTTAAGGGGTCAATTACTCGTCTAATAGTTCAGGGAGGTTATTGAAAACCAGTATCGTTCCAAGGAACAAATTCTATGATGATAGATAGGGGTCAGGTTTATTTGGCATCTATGGCCCCTTCCCTCCATTAGTGTGGGCGCCTTTTGAAATAAGCCCTTATATTTCTGTTTGTTTCAATTAGCCCTCAAATTCCTAGTACAAACTCATTGTGCATCTTCTGTCAATATCCTTTGGATTTGTTTTTGGAAAAATGTCTATGTATGAATCTCCCAAGATCCTGGAGGGTTATGTACAGGAAAAATCATCAGAAATGCTGCCAATATTCTGTCGAATCATAGTTGATTGCAATGTGGGTCTTAATTTATTTTTATTTCTTTTTTAGGTTGATACCCCTGCTAGGCTTGTCTTGAGATGCATACACAAGACAAATGTCCGGACCAAGGGGTGCACTTTGGGTCATGTTTGATAATTGGAATGCGTGATTGAGACAAAATAAAGTTTGTGGGCTTATTTAAAATTTGTGGAATAGTGGAGGGGCCTCTTTTGATTATTTGTTTTCCATGTTGTGTACTATTTGTCTCGGGTTGTAGCAAATAAATTCTTATAGATGACTTTTTTTGTGAGGAAAGATGATGTGCATACTGTAACGATGTATTTACTTGCTGCAGTTACTATCAAAAGAAAGGATACGGGAAAATATTAGGAGGCCTGCTAAATGTCTCCACAAATGCCTTGAGGTGGTGGATTTTGTTGGGAACATTGATATTGAGCTTGCCAAGTACTTTATAGAGAATGCTATTGCACTCCAGAAGATTATTGTTGATTGTCGTGGACCATTGTTCCGGGAGTGGACCGAGTTCAAAGAAACCAAGTGGGCGAAGGAATCGAGAATGCTTGCTTTGGAGCTAAAAAGAGAATTACCTCAAGGGGTCGAGTTAGTAATTCATCCTGAAGCTGAGGGCATTGAGGATCAAAGGCCGCAGCTCTTCATGTAATCCATCAAAGAGAACCACCACCAGTTGGAGTCTATCTAGTTTATATGGTATTCTGGCTTGTAGTTTAATATATTTATTTCCAAATATGGTGTAGTGGTTGTCCCTAACTTGAAGACTTGGTAGACAATAGACATGACTGATAAGTAATAATGGGTGTGCCTTACTTTTTTTTTTGAGTAACGGTGTGCCTTACTTGACAATGAATATTCCTAAGGGCCTAGTCGCTGGCAGCTAAAGCCGAGGGTATGCATTCTCTTTTCTCGAGCAATGCTAAGTGGAAAACAACCATGTTGTCCAATTAAAAATGGCTGTTTGTTATTTGTATAGTTGGAACTTGGAATATTAGGAGGGATACAACTTGGATGGGTTGGTCCAGTTTATTAAGCATCTCTAAGCCTAATTTGAGTTATAGATTGGTTTGTTCAGGCCTAAGGATGTCAGAGGACCTATAGAAAATTGGATTCGTTTAAACCTATCTCGGTCTATTGTCATCACTATAATCGTTCGCCCGTCTACCCTAGTCAAAGCCCTAGTCAAAAGTCTGATTTTTCAAATTGAAGCCCAGCCAAACTTAGTAAGTTTCATGCTTGAATGAATTGACCAAGCTGTTTTGAAAATTTTGAATAAAAATAATTTTATCCACTTATCAAAAAACCCCACTGGAGAGAAATGAGAGAGAGAGATACAAGACTACATATATATAGTGCAATCATAGTGTTCAGCCTATAGAGGAGAAAATGCAAGTTCATATCATTATATTATGGCTATGGCACTCGGATTCCATAAGTTTCTTAAGTGTTTGACTAAGTCCGATGCGAATAAAGGTCAAACTTAATTCTTTTAAGTCAAATTCGTCCACAGTAAAAGTAGTTGCAAAATCTTTCCCAAGCCCAATCAAATTATGCTGAGTCGCGACAATTTTTAAGAGTGAATGATGAATCTTGCCATAGACTTATGCCCTATCAAAAAAAAGAGAACAGAAAAGAATTTATGGCCAATCAGACTCCTCTCCAATTTCATTAGAATTAAATATTTGTTCAAATTCTTATTATTTTGAAGAGTAACATTTAAAATAACTTGAAATTCAAAGAACCTATGAATAAATATCCTAATGGATATTAGTGATAAAACACTTATAACAGGAGTTTAAGTGTTAAACATGTACAAACTAGTCTATGTATAATAGTTTAAATATCAAGAGTCTAAATAATTAAGTGACAGAGGATTTAATTGTAATTTTTCCTAATTTGAAGGGTATATATTAGTTGAATTGTGCCAAAATGCAGCACAAATTTGTTCGGGATCTCATCGATTGTCGAAACAGTGGATGAAAGACTTTCTGAAGCAGAGGCTTTGATCGATGTAGAAGTTCTCGCACCTCTCGTGGAAGAACTGGAACTACTCCAGACATATTTGGAGGATTGTCGCACTTGTATTAATGATTGTGCAGTAGATCTAGTGGCCTGACCCTATATACTCGGCTGAGTTCCTGTCGATATCCACAAGGTTTCATTATTAATCATACATTACTTTTATATCGGCACTGTTATTGTTCATCCTGATATGTTAGACGAAGATTACGATCTAATTGAGGTTGAAGCAACTGAATTCGAAGTTCCAATCGCAAGGACGGTCAAACACAAATTGGGGCTTAAAGCGAGAAAATATTTTATAGAGATTTATGGTATGATTTATTTTCAAAGTTTTAGTGATTTTGGAATCGGGTAGGATCAAACAATAAATTAGATATAATTGTGAAATCAAGATTTTACAGATGAAAAAATTGAATAAAGTCTTAAAGAAACAACAAGATAGCTAAAGATAGGACAATAAACCAAAGCAAGACAATGAAACTGGGAGAGAGAGAAAGAGTTGGAGAGAGACAGTGAGAGTGGAGAAAAAATTAATGAAAAGATTTTGAGAGATTGATGTTTTTAAAGTTAATTTTAGATTTTTTTAGAAAACTTTCTTATATTTTAGGACTTTCTATAAAAATTTATAAAGTTGTAAAAATATTGTTACATTTTAGGATTTTCTATAAGATTTTAGATGAACTTTTGAAATATATTTGACTTTTAACTTGGTCTTTTCAAAAGGGTTTCAAAACATAAAACTAAATAAGGAGTTGAAAATTAAATTGGATCTCTAAATTTTTGAGACTCTAGGTGACTATTTTAATAGTTGGGCCCTAGGGCTGGCCTTGTTGTTCCATTGAAGTATCTGTACATCTCGCAATAATTGTAATTTTTATTTGTCCCTTACTGTCAAATATTCGTCATGAATCCGATTAAGTGAGACAAATTAATTACTAGATGACGCGCAACGATTAAAAGTAATATGTGCTATTTTATGTTTTATGTATTTTTTCATTGATCGTTATAAGATGCTCTTATTGTAAAGATATTCAATATTACAATGTGGTGTCACATAATTTTTTTTTAATAATTTAGGCATCTAATATATATTAAATTTTTTTATATTAATTTACTTTTTTTGTGGATTCTTTTTAAGAACGAATAATTTAATTAGTTGGTATTTTTGTGTTTAAATGAAAACAAAATCGAGTTAATAAATGATGTTTTTTAGAAGAGAGATACTTATTATATTTTTTTATCGAAATGTTAACCCTTTTTTATTTTTTAATAAATGTGTATGTGTGAGGTGGACTGTACTATTGGATATAAATTTTAAATTTTATTTTTTTGACGTAATCTTTCAAGAGTTTTTTTGTTAAGCTAATTATAATGAATTTTAATCTTTGATATATACTTTATTATAGAACTCTAAAATGTCATGCCTTTTTTATATGTGGGCCTAAAGCTTATGTTTTTTTGGCGCAACTATTGAGCCGGCCTTGTCCGATCGATTCGGAAGAAATTATTTGATTCGAGATGAGTTTTGTGACTGCATCGTACAATTAACAAATTCATATTTTTGTTATATTATGTATTCTCAAGCGAGCTTTCTCTTACATCTGGATCTCATGGCGCAGTCTTGGGTGGAAAAAGTGCCAGAGTATCCGCATCCAGTGAAACTTGGAGTGCTTACAATGGCTGCAGCTGCAGCAGGGTTCCTAGCTTCGACAGTATTTGTAGTGACCGGCTTTGACTTCTCCGTGACTCTATATGTGGTATGGCCTATGGCCAAACCATTTCTTAAGCTTTTGTTTGGACTTGTCTTCGGTATTTTAGCGAGAGTTTGGGAGAATTTTGCTGATATCGTTAGTTGACGGTATATTTCAACGTGATATAATTTTGTGAAGATGAGTAAATGAAAGAAACAATATTGGAATTATTGGGATCTGAGCTACTGGACTCGAGAGAATAATACTGAGAATTGTTGGAGAGTTGGAGAATTAACACAGTAGAAATATAGTAGTTCACCAGTTCGGAAGTTCGGTTAATCCACTCTTCAATGGAGATTCATGCTCCTTCCTTCACTATTCACTATACCAAAAAATTTACAGAATGTAAGATTTGTACTAGGGTTCTGCCCTTCTGTTGGGGGCGTTACATAGTATTTATAGGGGTGACCCTTAATCTATGAGATCTGATCCGTGATCCTCGCCATCTATCCGAGGAATTCTCCTTGATCTTAGAAGAGTATTTTGGTTGGTTGAACATTTTGTGTCTTGAGTGTTACTTCAAACAGTCTGTCGAGTTCTTTGTAGTATCCAATTGCTTCCTCATTGTTTCAACTTATTATCTCGCTTGAGGGGAACTCTAGCTCTGATTTTATGAGCTCTGCATAACTCTGACCTTCATGTTTTGACCTCCGTTTCCGAGCTTATACTCGGGAATCATTCTGAGTATTATCATTAGTGATGGAGTCTCCAAGTCATATGAAATTTACGTGACAGTTTTTTAGGAATATGAGCCACCTATTCTCACAGTTTTCCAGGAATATGGGTGCTAATCTTGCATGACAAGTGACTTCTATGGACTAAATTTAGATTGTGGTACTTAGACATTTCTGCTTGGACTACTCACTGTCATCCCCAAAGGCTACTTGATTGATGCAATATCTGAAATACGAGTTGAATGTACTCCAAAGGATTGAACCAATGAACTTCAAAACCAAGAAAACATATCGTTTTTTGTTCAAATTTATGCCATGAGATTTTTGATGAAGTAAAAGAAGAGCCTTGTGAAATTTTTTAACATGTGCTTAACCAAGTGGTAGTTCTATTGCTCAATTTGAAGAATGCCCCATTTTTTTTTTCTGGACAGGTAAACAAAGTCCTTAGTTATTGATGCCCAAAAAGAAGCCACGAAATGAATCCGATCCCATAACCACTCAAACTCCTCCCCACTTTTCATCAAAGATTCTTGCATTCCTCTCCTTCCATCCAACTCAAATTGTAGCATAACAGGACGAAAAACAACATTGATAACAGAGAGAAACATGATGTGATCCAATTGATGGAGGATGTAGAAAATTGCCTCTTGAGTGTTGTGTGATTGACATATATTACCAAACCAAAGAAAATGTCATATAAACCAGTTGGAAGACTTGCCATGCATCATTATAAAACAAATGGCAGTCCAAAAAAATGTTTATTATTTGTGGGTGATTGAGTAAAAATAGATAAACGCAACCAGCATCCAAATGAGAAATGGAAGTGTTGAGAGACTAATGTTGGACTACCAAATCGGCCAAAATCTTAAACTGCTATCAGAGAATGCGTTGAAAACTCTATGTGGGTGTTGTAAGAGCTTCAAGAACTCCTCGTTTTGCTTTATCAAGCGCTGATTAACGAGGCAAAGGGCCTCCATCTTGTTATTTGTGGAGGGATTCCCCATGGGAAGATCAGTCTCTGGGACGTTCTTGGGCTGTCTGCCATTGGTGTCTCCCTGTTGGTCCTGCATCCGAGATGGGTTTGTTTGGCTTCTACTCATGTTTTGTGTTGATACCATCAGTCACTGAAAGATTAGCTTATTTGTAACATGAACAGTCGTTCCCACAGACGAAGCCAAACTGATGATGTAAATCAACGTGGATGAGCAAAAGGTGTAGGTGACGTGTGATGAACGTAGATCAGAGCTACAAGGCTTGTGTGTGATGCTGCAGTGAAATATTGAGGGGATTAAAGGGTATACATAGTGAAAATATAGTGGTTCACCGGCTCAGGAGCTCGGCTAGTCCACTCTTCAATGAAGGCTCTTGCTCCCTCTCCTCTATTCCATACTCAAATGTATTATCATACGGTATATCTCAAAATTAGGGTTTTTTTTTCTCATCCCCCTCTATGGAGGCGTTACATAGTATTTATAAGGCTGCCTCCTATTCCTTGGGATTTCAACCGAGATCTTTGCCCATTATTCATGGGATCCTCCTTGATTTCAGGAGAGAATCTTGGTTGATTGAGAGTTTCATGCATGAGACTCAATTTTCGCAGTCATCCAATTGTTTCCTAGTTGATTCAGCTACGATCTCCTCAAGGGGAGCTCCACCCCTGGTTCTCTGAGTTCCTTGTGTCTTTCCTGACTTTCTGACCCGAACTTATAGTTAGGGCATGTTTGAGGTATCATCAGTTTTCAACGGTTAAAATTGATAAAAAAAAAAAAATTAATTATCACTAAATTAATAGTTGATAGATTAAATTGAGACAATTAAAAGTCATGGACTATTTTAGAACAAGAGTCAAAATTTAAGATTAATTATGATATTTATCCCTTATTTTATCGTTTGAAGCTGCAGACTGTTCATCGAAGAAGACGAAAAATTGATGTCTACTGACCAAAAGAGCATTTGTCGTTCTCGTGGCACATTTTTCCCGTGTGATATGGAGGCATTGATAGGCCAAAATCAAAGGACCACTACTTAAGGGGATGAATTATAAATTCATCTGGTCTGAATTTAAATTTAATAATTTTTTAGGGTCAAATTGAGGGATTTATCTCTCATAAATATTTTAATTATGACATGGATGATTTATTTCGAATTGAAAAAAAAATTAGTCAAGATGAACTTAAATTAACCTAAATACTCCAGATTGTCGAAAAAAAAAAGAGCTTTTAGTTAATTCCATAGGACATGCATTTTTGGTGTTTCCTTGGGACATGGATAGGCCATTCATTTCTTGTCTTCTATTCTGGTCTGTTCTGGTCATTTGAATTTAGCAAATGACCTGCCCTTCTTATCTTGCTAGTTGGGGAAAGCCCGGTCATTTGAATCGGGTTGGCTCCCTTGTAATTATGAATTAATTAACAGATTCTTATTTTAATTTAGTCTCTAAATTTTAATTTGCTTCAATTGAGCTCTCAAACTCTTGAATTTGGTTCACTTTACCCCTTCCGTCAAATTTGGTAACAGAATGGGTACATGTGCCAGTCACATGATTGATTAGAGTGGTTGGATTTGTGTATTTTTCAAAATTATTTTGTTACTTACCGAAAATGCCCCACCTATTTATCTAATCTGAGTATAAAATTGAAAGCATGAATGCCCTGAAAGCAACATATTATATATGCATACCAATACACATTCATCCACAAAAATTAATAAAAATAACATGTAAAAAGTTAAAATTTATGCACAATTATGTGATAAACTATTTAATGAGCTACATAGAAGCAAGTAATTAATTAAATTCATAAATTAAAAATTGAATTCGCAAATTTTGATAAAATGAAAGTGGTAATTCATGGAAAATTATGTGATTAAGTTGGCATACTTGTACGCACACTGCAAAAATGGCATTTTTTAAAATCGCCCTTTATTTAAATACAAAAGCAATTTTAGTACTTAATGAAGCAAAATATCCCACGGGGCCGCATACATATACAGCCATTTCAATTTGATTTGACCCCGAAATGCACGCTGTGCATGTGGTTTAGATTGGCTAAATAATAGCATTTTCCTAAATAATAAGGGGAACGAGGTGGTGGCCTTTGTTCTGCCATTACTCTCTCTCTCTCTCTCTCTCGGTGTCCAGTGTGTTTTATTCACTTAAGCTATTGAAGAAAGAAAGGCGAATGGGAAGAGCCCCTTCTTGTGCTAAAGTGGGATTGCACAGAGGTCCTTGGTCTGCCAAAGAAGACAAATGGCTCACTGAGTACATTCAGGCACATGGTGAAGGACAATGGGGATCTATTCGCAAGAGAGCTGGTAAATGCTCTTGTCTCTCTACTCCTACAAGACTACACTACTACATCTTCAATAGTTTAGCTTGAGTCTTAACTCTTTTCAAACAATTAATGTGTGTTTTGCTTAAACTCAAAGGAATACTTAGATGTGGAAAGAGCTGCAGACTAAGGTGGATGAACTATCTCCAACCGGGTATCAAGAGAGGAAACATCACCGCCGATGAGGAAGACCTTATTATCAGGCTTCATACCCTTCTCGGCAACCGTTGGTCTCTCATTGCCGGAAGACTACCTGGCCGAACCGACAACGAGATCAAGAACCATTGGAATACCCATCTTCACAGGAGGCTCCAGAAAGGAGGAATTGAACTGAATGCCCAAAAGAATGCATTGAAACAAGATAAAGAGCCAAAAAAGAAGAACAACCTCAGTACCACCACTCCTTCCGACAGCCAAAAGAAGCAGAAGCAGAAGCAGAACAGTATTGGTGCCTCCACTTCCAATGGTGATGTCACTGGTAACAAACTCTATAACCCAAAACCTATTAGAGTCTATGCTTCGTCATCCTCACTGACAAAGAACAACAGTTTTGACTATGCGTTAAGCACTTCTTCATCGAGTCATGAAGCTGAAAAAGAAGTTAAAACAGGAGCTTCAAATCTACCTTGGCCATTGTCTGAGCTCGAAGATGGTGGCGATGGAGGAGTTCAATTTTTTGATCAAGATTCAGTCCATATAAATAATGAGTTGCTAAACAAGATCTATGATGAGTATCTTCAGCTACTTTAGCATTGCATTGCAACCATTTGTCCAAAATCCAAATCGTAAGGCTATTTTTCTTAAAATCTTAGTGATATCAACGTCAGAACTTGTAACTAAAATATCACACCATGCATCGTTCATCAATCTTTTACAACTCAATAGCTACAGCACCTACACCTCTATGTGGGAGATGTATCACATGTTTCGCTATTGGGTTTTATGAATGAAAGAATAATGACGATGTATATGCTTGTCATTTTTGAGAACCTATTTATTATATGTGTACCATTGATTTCACGTGCTGATTATTTTCAAATGTTATGTTTTTTTTTTTTTAAATTTTGTTGTGAACAAATAAGAAAAGATTAGCACGTGAATTCACGTGCAGAATAACGAATTTTCATGGTAACGAAATAAAATATAGCAATAGAGATCACAGCTTTCATAAACATCAAAGAGATTCAATTCACAGTGTTTTAAGGCACCATCAATGGAGAAATAAATGACAATTTTTTTTTTTTGAAATCGATGAATGGATCCGTACCCCTCCAATTGTAAATAAACCTTACTGCACGAATACAGACCAAAAACGTTTGTCTTCAATCCTAATTACAACTGTTGTTTATAAAATTAGTAATTATTTTGACTTTTTGGAATGATATGCGGACAAAGTATGTGACAGAAAATTTTTTGTCATGACATTTAGATTTGTCTAGAGTTCAGCATTATTGGCCGTGAATAATAATTACTATGAAGAAGTTCATAGCTAGTATGCAGTGCACGTGTAATAAACGTGCATCACTAGTCACGACAAGCCAGTATCTTGGTAAGACTCATATATAGCTAATGTCAGTGAAAAAAATTTGCACTATTATACAAACTTAAGGATTTTAATTCCTGTGTGTTGGAATGGACTTTTCGTTACCATGAGTGGGGGAGACACTCGTACATGTGGATTCTGGGGAGATCTAATTAGAATAGAGAGGTCGGAATAGAAGCAATTTCCCAAACGAAGGCAGCTAAACAAAACTAATAGAATAGGACGTTTAATCGGCTGTTTTCTTATTGATACCTATAACCTTATCTGTATTTTGGTGCAGGATGTGTAAGGTGTATGTTTATTGCTTTTCTCTTATGTTTTGGGGATTCCCTTGCAAATTGAATAACTCCCTTTCCATGGATTGTGAATTATACAATTTAGAAGCCACCTAGATGCATGAAAGATAAAAAACCAAAAAAAACCCAATTACTATTTTTGCTTTTGGTTGTCTTTTTTTTTTTCAATAACAATGATACATTCGTCAATTTCTTTTCCAATTTTTTCACATCCAATCAATATATACAGTAAGATTCATGCATCTAATGACTTGGGGTAAACATCTAATGATTTTCCTTGTGGTGCGGGGTCGTTGGTGTAAGAATTTAGCACCTGCAGGTACTATTTGATAAAATTGAAATGCGAATTATATTAAAAATATAATATTAAATTTTAAATTCGTGAATGATTTGACATTCACTAAAATTTATGTAGTGAATTAAATTAAATTGTTAGATAAGTACACAAAGTTGACATATGAAAATAAATTATGTTTATTTTAAAATTATTTATAAAATATGTATTTATCTAATAAAAAATCATGAATATCAATAAAAATAATTCATAACGTAGACCCACAACATTTGGTCAGTAAGTTATAATTGTTGAGATTCTTGTATTTAACGAGTGAGGGAAAAAAGTCGTATTTAGTATACAAGCTCCTACCTCTTACAGGATATTACCCATCATGTATCGGTGGGCAGACAGATGAACACTTGCCACAATTTAATCCCTACCGTCGTCTTTCTACTGAAATTAGCTTGTGGCTTGTGGCTTGTGGCAGAACTCATGTGCAAGAGTTCAATATCTGCAAGCTGAAAAATTGTTAAAGAAGGGAACTATGGAATTTGCTCAAGTCTTCCATCAGTTTCAATGAATGTTCATAACCATTTTCACTGGTCCCTAAGCAAATTTGATACCTTGATAATAAAACTGTGTGTATTGTATAGTGTTCGTGTGTGTTGAAGTATCTCTGTGTGGGCATGTGATTGATTTGTGTGTGTAAGCCAAAAAAGGCACGAGGAAGAAAGAAGAATAGGAACAATGATACACTCATCTTTGTGTGTAAGCCGAAAAGGCACGAGGAAGAAAGATGAATGGGAACAATGATAGATTCATCTTCTTTTCTTTTTTTTCCTAATTTTTGTTGGACTTTAGTAAGTAAAATCTGAATTTTGGTTGACTTTGAGCTTCAATTAAAGTGAGACCCACTCGTTATTTTAAGCAAATTTTCATGGATTCGTATTCTATTCCGTAAGAGAAATAACGTAGCATATTTACTTGTTCAAATCAAATAAAAAATAAATGCGAAAATAGACTCTAAAATGATCCACTTGATTTGTGAAAATAGAGGTTATGCAATATGTGATTTGACACAATTCCAAATTAGTTTTGGAAGAAATTCTACGTGAGCATATATAGATTAAATTTGCTCTATGAGATTGGCTCCAAGGGATACCACAATTTTATGAGCAGAACAAACACCTACATGCCATCGGTTTGACCAAACACACGCCCCGCCACGACCTGACTCGATTAGGCTTAGACACGAGTGTGGGTGTGAGTTAAACCTTAAACTGGAATTTAATTTCTGTACCTGATATGATTACCCCAATCTCAAATATTTTCTAAATGTTTTGTAATCTCTAACCTTTTAATGGTAGCAATATGTGTGTGTGTTAATCCTTAATTCTGATCCTTGTCCTACTTCTTGCTTCGTCAAGAATATGCTGTATTTCTGATGTTGATTAAACTTGTAGTACTATGTGATTGTGAAATGTAGTTAAGAAATTACTAAACAAACAACTGAGTGTAGAAATGGTAATGCCATGTTGCAGGGAAGCGGTTTTACTACTAATTTGTTGTTTTCCATCTCTTTAGATTGCAAAATTGGGTTCTAGTCGAGACTCAAGTGTGATGATGCCATCTCTGTTACCAGTAATGGCAAACATCGTGTTGCTGGTGCTTGATGTTCATAATTTGGATATTTGTTATTTGTGTTATGTTGGAATATGTTATACTATATTAAGTTATGTTAGATTATGTTGGATTATTTAGAATATTGTTGGATTATTTAAAATTATGAATTATGTTGGTTTGAGCTTGGGTTTAGACTTAAGCTTGAGCTTAGGCTTGGGCTTGGGTTTGGGCTTGGACGGGTACGGGAGAAGCGGGAAGGGAGGCAGAGATTAGAAATTTATCCGCAGACAGGAATGAAGATGAAAACTATACCCGTTAATAGAGGTGTTCACCCTACCCTACGGGTAAGAAATATGCTCTCCCATCTTCCTACCCGATACTTTGCGGAAGAATTTTTCTTGGCTTACCCTACCTGACAGGTGTGGTATTCCTACCCGATTAATCGAGTAGGAAATCGGGTAAACATTTTTGTAACAATTAATTTTTGGATCATTTTAACAATTTAATTAAATAACATATATCAATTTAACAATATAATAAATCAATTAACACTAAAATCTAAAACAACTGCAACAAGAATTATAATAAAACACAAGAAAGTATGAACATCAATCCACCATAATTGTTAGACAAATGCAATAACAATTAATTTAAGTTTAAACTTTAAACCACATGAAATATATTAAAATCATAATTGCTCTGCCTGTGGTTAGGAGATATATATATATATTTAAGGGTTGGGTAGGGTAAGAATGCGAAAATTGATGATCATTCCACATTCCTACTCGAAAATTGTCGAAAGACCGAAAACTCTTCCATATTCCTACTTGATTTTTGCGGCTAATTGTTTAGTAGGGTATGGTAGGGTCGGGTAGAGTAGGAACTTGCGACCGGTCGAAAATTTGAACACCCCTACCCGTTAACGGGGATGGACGGAGTTTTTTTAAACAGGTACAGGGATGAAGACTATAACCCCCACCTCCACTTCGGTCCATTGACATCCCTACCTGTATTTGGAGAGTACAAAGCATAATTTCTAGTTCGTTGGGCGAGTGGATTAAAATACTACTTCTATTTGTGTGAAAATCATTATATCATAGAAGGTAGACACTTAATATATATAAATACATATTTTATCATTGTATTTTTATATGAAACTAATGTATACATAATATATAGACAAATAAGATATATCTCAACACAAATAATTAATTATCTATCTACTTTCTTTTCAATTTTAGAGGGATTAATTTTGATGAGTTGAAAAGAAAGTCAATTCATTCACTTTTTCATCATTTTTATTTTCTTTTCTTACCAAAAATAATATTTTATTTATTCTTTCAATTTTTTATCCTTCTATTTTTTCATTATACCAAACGGAGCATTAATGAAATATAAGTCTGATTGGTATACTTAAAGCAAAATAATTTCTAAGAAATGTACTCATAACCAAATATTCGTTTTTGTTTTTAGTTATGAGGGTGGGCTTTATTCCAAATACCTAAAACTATAATCTATATTTATATTTATATTTATACTACTATAAAATATCAATTATCTTTTAAAATTTTTGATTTCTTTTTTTATCCCTCAATAATACAATTAGGTATTTTGTTATTATGTCATATGTTTTGCTACAGAAAACGATATCTTTTCATCTCCTTTTAACATAAATATTACTTTTTAGAAAGTTAATCGACACTTTTATTGTCAGATATCCCTTTTCACTTACCTATTGTTTGATGATAACTATGCAAATCTTTTCAGATTCGATCCACCAAGAAAAATGTTTTGAATCTCTTCATTTTCCTTTCTAATGGAAGTTGCTGATATTGAGGAGTTGGTGAAAGGTCTGGTGTCTTTTGCTTTTTCCATATATTTCGAAGTAATTTGTTAAGTAATATTTGATCCCCGATTAAGGAAATCAGTCACGTCACAAGAACACGACGGCACCACTAATGTGCCTCTTAACCATGATTGCTTCACTGAGGTAAATGTTTCTTCTCTTCTTGAGTTCCAGCTTTTATCCAGTTAGATTTTCTCATCTTGGGCGTTCAATATTTCTTCCAATGGAATTAGAAGGAAATCAGTTCATTACTTAAACCTCTTATTCTAATTCCAAAACTCGAGATCCATGAATAAATATTTAATGCAACACTTACCATAATTGACGTATTCTTCCAGCAATTTGTAATAAACTACTCACTAGGACTGCTGAACTATACTTAAAGTCGATGCGATAGTTATTATATATAGTGGTTAATGGTGGGCATAAAAGTAGAAGACACTTCAGTCACCCCAAATTCAACTTCAAGGTATTTGATTTGAATTTTCTATAGTAGTCACATGTTTGTGGAATATATAGTCTAAGTCACATGGTTAAATGTATGTTTGTGGCAAACATATTAAAATAATAATCCATTGAATGGCGACCATAGACTGGTAGTGATCCTTGAAGGACATTGGAGAATCTGGTGGAGGGGTAGCAATATCCTGCCTCAAAGCTGTTACTTTATGCAGACAAGAGATGGTGGTGGAACAACTGTATATAAAGGGGCAACTGATAAGATAAATGCATATATAGGCAACAATATATTTATAAAAACTGGTATGCAAGGGGGTAAAACGTACTGGTCCACCATTAAGAGGAGTAAGGCACCAAAATAGGTATGGTGGTAGTACAAAGTGTAAGAATTTATTTAAAAAGTTTAGTACATACATGTATGAGTTATGATACTTGATATCCGAATTTCTTTTGTGAAAAGACAAAGTCTTCCCCTCCTACTTCAAAATAATAAATGACTATCAATGGGATAAGTCAAATTAAATTATGAAGTGAAGAAGGGATCTAGTCCACTATTTATAATGAATCTAATGGACTCTCTTATTATGGACCATAATTAGATTAAGGTATACACTTAATCGTTTCAACTACATCAATTAAAAAGATGTATATAAGTTCATTAAAATATATCACTTAATAATATTAGGTTCATCTCATTTGATCATAAATTCAACTCATTTTTCACAAATAAAAAATTAACTATTAATTAATAAAAATTCTAACATAAAAAAATTCCAACACAATGAGCATTTGCTGCTCACCACTTGTATCAAACTTGAGAGAGACCTTTCAATTTATGGGTTCCTGTGTAGGAGACAAGAGGCATAAATGCAAAAGACACAATAAGGGTTTGAAAAAAAAAAAAAAAAGGAAAGAAAACGCTGTGATCATATTTTTTGAGATAGAATAGTGGCCACCAATATTCGCCCATCTGTTATTATTATTGTTTTTTTGTATTCAATGGTCTTGTAGGTTCAGGTCAGTTTATATGTATCTTAATTAATTTTTTATTTGGTTCGATTAAAAACAAGTCATTCACGTTAAGACTAAAAAATTTATAAAAAATAAATTTTTAATAATCTAATTCCAAAAAATTATAAAAATTTAAACTCACCTATCTTTTAATTGAGACATGCAATAAGTTTACTAAGGTCCACATATGTACCCTGCTAAGGTCTTATTACTTGTACCTTGTATCATCATTTAACAAAAGTATTGGCGGTGTTGAATGCTGGGGGAACATGCTTTGCAGCTTTGTATGGGCAGAGATATTATTGAAGCTCTAGATTTACTTTTAGTAACAATAGATAAATACTCTATTTTATATCTTTCTTTACTGAGTTAAACTTGTAGAACAGAAGAGCCTAAAGAGTGAGGGAGCAACAGACAAATATTTATACTATATCCCTCTACTAGCTCAATCGTTTAGAGCAATTGGTGTACTCTATGCGAGCCTACAAAGTGAGAGGGACAAATATTTATTGACCATATAAACCCAAACTATTGTTATATAAAAAAAATTGCATAATTGAGGCCATCATTCTTGATATATACCGATACATTACATGCAAGGTTTTTTTTTCTTTTTTTTTTTTTTGCGGAATAATTTTACATAGGAGTGAATAAAATGGAGCAATTGTTGATTTTACATAAACGCATCCTTGTCCAACAATTTCGAACGTTAGTAAGGCACCAGGTCAAAACCGAAGATGCTAGGTGAAAATTCGACATTCACATGGTAGTGAGTCAACTTTGTCATCCTCAAAATCAAGAAAACAGCACACAATTTATTGTATACAACTTAAATAACGTCAATGATGGTATTTTATTATCACTCTGAATTAGTTTTTGCAACCACGTAAGATTAGTTTTTGCAACCACGTAAGTCGTAACATGACCAAATTTTAATAGCCAAACGAGATGGTCCAGAACTTTGACCTGTATTCATTTCTTTAAGAGAGTAGTATAATACACTAATTTTTTAATCACAACTGTAGTATGTGTGCACGAACCAATAATTCCATTTGCCATGCATATATTACATGGATAACACTATCCTAAAGAAACAACTATTTTTAATGACATACGATTAAAATTGTGTTTTTCCATAGTATAATAGGTTGGACCACCCATATCATACACATACACCAGTCGACATTTCTCTGCACTTACGCTGCTATATATACTCAAGATTTGAGAGCTTACATGGCCTCGTAATATATAATATAATAATATTTTATCTTCCCGATCCGTCACAGTACAACAAGCAATCAAAGGAATGTAGTTGGTGGTAAGCATAGAATAGAGGGACTAGAAAGAGACTATCTATCCTTTTGTTTTCCTGTGTATGTATAAATATAAATTTTTTATACCTTGCCTACGTTTTTGAGTAACTATAACTAATTTACATTTAGTCTAACTCATTGAATGGATCAAAAACTGCTGCTAATTTTGAACCTCCGGAAACCATAATTTCAGAGGCGGACCACAAACGGGCTGCTTCGGTTGAGTTGGAACCCAATTTCGACGGTGAAGCTTCATTGCAGTCTGCGAAGTACTTCCCACTTACGTTCTTAAGTCTAGGATTAGTTGCCACGTAACAAGTCGTCGCAGCTGCCTGAATAAGAATTAACAAACATTTGAATCTCAATCAGATGCCGTACCAATGCCTGAATAACAATTAATAATTTTCAATAATTCAAATAATAATATAGACGAATTATAATTGGGATCAATTAAATAACATACCATAATATATATATATACACTATAAAACATAACCATCAATCATACTAATGCTTTTTGATTTAAGGCTTCAGCATTGAACACTACTTTACTAGTACTCGTTCTACCTGAGGAATCGTCTTGACGAATTTTGAACCGAAGAAGAATACCAGATCTGCATGTTTTTTTAACATAAAAAGTTCAGAAGTACTATAAAGGGTTTGTGTGACTGCATAATAAAGACTCAGTTTTAGCAGATTATTGTGGTGACCAGTGACGAGGCCTTCACGGTCTCTGGTGAGTCTGGTTTTCACAATTCCCGGATGAACACAATTCACGGTCACATTTGCCTCCATTTGCTGCGTGCAAAATCATCCACCGGGAAAGATCAAATGTTAATTTCAGAATAAAAAACAATAACAACTATCGATCTTGTCTGGAAATGAATCAAAATGATCACCTTCAGTCTGTGAGCAAGTTCCTTGGTGTGCAAAACGTTGGCCAGCTTCGACAGGGCATAAGCTCGTGTCGCATCGTACCAACTATAGGAGACAAAGACAAATATATGTCAGAATAAAGGCCAAGCTAAGCAGGAAGCACTCTCTCTCTCTCATTATTATTACTTTCAGAACCAGCGGATCCTCCGCCTTGAGTCTTGTTGCATTTTTATTTAGTTCCCAATTTTTCCTGTACTTTCTTCCTTTTTCAAATATCGATCTCACCTTTTGTTTCGAGTTATCTCCCCGACACTACGAATTACATCGCCGGAAAACCAGCTGTGAATGCCTGACGACACGTTCACTATCCGTCCTTGAACGCCTGTTGTCTTTGCCGTTTCAATCATCTTCTTCACCAGCTGCTTCGTCAACAGAAAATGACCTAGGAATTCCAAAGACAAGCCTTAGCTCTAAAATTTTACACACCCCTTTTATGTATGTATATGTATGATTGTAATCAAAATTTACCTAAATAATTGGTAGCAAAGGTCATCTCAATTCCATCATCGGAGATTGCGTGCTCGTATGAGAATTTGCCGGCGTTGTTACTGATTTCAAGTAGAAAAAATGAATCAAATTGAAAGAGGTGACATCGGACTATATCTCTGAGACTGAGTATATAGATACAGACAAGTGACAAACAAGTTTTTTTGGAGTTACATGAGGAGATTGAGAGGCAAATTGAGAGAGATAAACTCTGCAACGAAGCTTCGGACCGAATTGAGAGAGCTGAGATCGAGAGCCAAGACGAAAATCTCCGAATCAGGAAACTCCGATACTATACGAGCCTTAGCTTCCACCGCTGCTTTGAGGTTCCGAGCCGGAAGGACTAGCCTCGCGCCGCGTTTAGCTAACACTCGAGCCGTCTCGGCTCCGATCCCTGACGTGGCACCTGGTGAACCACACGATCAAAGCCGTAGTAATTAAACACATTTTGAACTAATCAATTATCAGTTTGCATGTGATCGATGAGTAGGATTGATGAGATTACCGGTGATGATGGCGGTGAATGAACGGAGATTAGGACAGTTCTCAGTGACTTGTTCGGCGGTGGACTTGGAGCCATGGCCGCTTGGGCCAGGGGAGCCGATCAGGTATTTTACGGTTTCAAGCATTTTCTGCTGTTAATTTTTGTTTGTCCTCTGCTGCTAGTATCCTTGTTTTTTTTTTTTTTTTTGTGTGAATTTTTATTCTACCGGCCATACATACCTTTGGTTCATAACTGCGGCGACTGTTGTTGACTTGATGGAACCTAGAAATTAGCCCTGCATGCACTTTGCGGCTACTTGAGTCTAGGTAGGAGTGGCTGGTGTCAGGTTTTGCAGGCAGCTAATTATTTGTCTCCTGTACGTTGTTCAAGAAGGGAGGGGGAGGGGAGAGACAGAGAGAGAGTTAATAGCCAAGGGAAAAGAAAGGTGGAGATGAGATTTTACAAGATAAAGAACAGGAGAGAGGATAGATTGCTTCGTTGGGATAAACACCAATGCTATTGGGATAAAATTTCGTGGTTGGCTTTTATTATACAATCATCCACATAATTTGATTTTTGATTCACAGTATTTATTGCCTTTAACTCAAAATTTATGTCTTGATTTTTTTTCTTTTTTCTTTCTCTGTTTTTTTGTTACAAAAGCAAGAATAATGAACAATTTTCATCAATCATGAAATTCTTCATTAGGAGTTTCGGGTTTATCTTTGACAAATGTTTTTTGAACAAAAAATATTGTTATTTTTTATTGAGACTATTGAATGGATAATGAGTCTAATTAAACGTTGAGTTTATCATTAAATTAATGACGATGATATTGAAAATTAATAAATATTATTAATATTTTTTATTCAAGTAGCATTGCTCTTGATTTTTTATGTCTTCCCACTCCCATTAGGGGTTATATTATGCCCTTTTTTTTTCTACATAGCAGAATTTTATTTTGTAAATTGTTTAGATTTTATTGTAATAGTAATTTATCTAATATTATAGTTAAGAAGTAAAATTCTCAACTTATAAAAATACATTAGCAGTTAAAATTAATCTAACTTTTATCCAAAAAAAAAATTTCACTTAAAAGTATCATTTTCATTGCACAGACCTTAAGGTCAAAGAATCTAATCAATTCACAAGTATATCTCTATTCTCTCTCCTCTTATCTCTATTTTTTTTTATTCATTTAATTTTAAATTACGTGATTAAAAAAAATGAATAGATTTTAAATATTATATAATAAATATTCAATTTCATGTATCTTCAGACGTGAAATTATTTCTAATATACTAATAATTGCCTATATTTTCCGAGTTATTGTTCTCATGTTAATCTCTTGGAGGGAATAATTATTGTCCTTAGATTTATCTCTTAGTGGCAAGTGGTCCAACACTAGTCAAGTGTAAACGGGAAACTACCAGTTTATGTGTGTGTTTTTTTAACCTTAATCGAGAGTTAAATTTTTTTGTTACTTTCCAATCATGAATGCAACGATTTTGATATGAGCCCAAAGGTTGATAAAACTAAAGAAACAATGAAATTTCAGCTTTTTAGTGTACTGCTTTTACTCCCGTGACTTCATGTGGGGGCCTCTGTTCTTATTATGTCCATTACTACATATTTTGCTTGTTTTTTACCAGATTAAAAATCCTTGTGCCAAGTATCCAAAAAGTGTGTATCAAATCTTTCATCCGACACGGTATGTATTCAAATAAGCATATTTATATATGGGTCGGACTTAGGTTCAACAAGTTTTGACAATTATGACTCTTGCGTCACCACCAAACCCCAGTAAAAACCTTTATCCAATTAGTTTGTGTTGATATTATTTACATTCAAATGCTTTACTAAATCATAATTTAGTATCTGAAGTTATTTTTGAGTGCCCAGAATATTAGCTGTATATTTACAATTCTTTTGTGTGCCCTTTTATTTTTCCTTCCACTAAGCCAAAAGTGGAGAGAAAGCTTCTCTTCTTATCCTCGAGCTTGAAAAGTTGTGAGTGCTTCGTGCCACAACTTTTCATTAAATTTTTTTATTATATAAATTTAGTTGCTTAGGATCTCTGAAGAAAGGCACCTGTAGCCAGCCGGTCAGCCTGAACTTGAAAGTTTCTAATTAATTAAGCTTTTTTAATCTTCCACATGTACCTTGAGGAATGCACCATTTATAATGTAGGTTTGACTGAAATAAAGACCAAGTTTAAACAAAAAGCAATCAAACGTTGATGATGCAAGTTTGACTGTAACAAACATATGAAACCATAGGGGAAAAAAAAAAGAAGATAAATTACACTAATGGTCCCTGTGGTTTAACGTTAGTCGTATTTTAGTCTTCAAAGTTTTAATTTCGTAAATTTGGTCTATAAGATGTTCACACATTTGGTTAATGTCGTCCTTCGCACTAACTTCCATCCAAAGTGATGAAAAATGTCACATGCTTGACACATGAGAGTATTGACAGATATTTTTGTCAATATATACTCAAAATATTATGCATAAATGAGAAAATAAAATAGTCTCACACAAAGATAAAAAAAATATTATCTCATCTCTCTCTCCAGCCTCATCTCTTTTTTTTCTATCGACGACCACCCAATCTCTCTCTCTTTCTCTTTCTCTCTCTTTGTGTATGTAAAACTCCACCGTTGAAATCGATCGCCACATCCACCACTGTTGGAATTGACCGTTACTATCCACTACTGCTAGAATCGACTGCCACCATCCACCATTTGTGGAATCGATCGCTACCACTAGAATCTATCTTCTCTCTCACTCGTTATCTCTTTCTCTTCTTTCTTTTTTTCTTTTCTCTCTCTGCCCTCTTACATTCTCGGTGCCTCACACAAAAATACAGTACACATCCTAACCTAAACAGCCATTGCAAAACCCATACGCTTGACACCAATTCTATCAACCCACTTGAATATGCTCCCCCCCTGCCACCCCCACCACCAACAGTTTTCTTTATTCTACCCCTATCCCATTGCTCATCACTCCACCCCTAAAATTCTCGTTGATTTTTTATTTTATTTTTTGGTTTCGATTTTGATTTTGAATTCAAACTTGATTCATTATATGATTTAATTTTTGATTTTGATTTCAATTTTGTTTATCATTCTATTTGTAATTGTTTTTAATTTGGATAAAAATTGTATTAGTAGGCAGTGGATCAAGTGGCAGGATTGGTGGTGTGTGTAATTTATGTTTTGCGTGAAACGAGAGAGATAAATAGTTGTTGGGTTTGATGCGTCTGAGCGTTTGTGTGTGTGACTAGGAATTTGTATTGTGGGTGTGTATTTGTGGTTTTTTGTTAAGGTTTCTAAGGGAGAGAGAGTCGTGTTGCGTTTAGGGAGTCGAGACACAGTAACGAGAGAGACACAAAGAGAGATGTATGTCTCTGTGTGTGAGGAAGTTAAGGTTTCTACGAGAGAGAGAGAGAGAGAGAGAGAGAGAGAGAGAAAAAGAGAACAAAGAATGAAGGATAAATAGCTATTAAAAACCAACACTACAAGAAAATTATTTTTCAGTGATGAGTTTTGGTGACAAACAATAAAATCAGTGGTCAAAAAATTATTTTTGGTGACAATTTCAAAAGTTTATCGCAAAATTTTTTTAATGATTTTTTTGGTAACAATTTTTTTTTAGTAGTTGCCAAAAGCCTTGGCAAAAATTTTGCCACCAAAATATTTTTCAACGAATTTTATACTTTTAGCAGCCAATTTTTTCATCACCAAAAATCAAATTTTTTGTTGTGAAAAAACATCCCTTAAATCTCTCATGTGCTAAACACATAACCTTTTTCATCTATTATTTGGACGACAGTTAGGGGTAAGGACTAAAGTGAATCAATGTGTTCAAATGGAGGATGAAATTAAAAATTTAAGGATAAAAGTGCAATAAATGACAAACTTAAGGCATCATTGGTGCAATTTATCCCAAAAAAAAAAAACCCACTGCATGACCATCACTGGAAGGCATGCAAGGTACACAATTTGAGGAGAAACAGATAAGAGTGCAACTCGGACGGGTTGGACAGTCAAATCTAATTCAACTCTAAGTATATATCTCTAACTCTAACTCTAACTTTAACTTTAACCTTAACCCTACATCAGGTTAAAAAACTCAATCTGAGCACTGCTCGAATTTAATTCGGACGAGCTCAAATTTAATTCAGGTTAATAATATTGTACTGATTTTGAGTTATTTTGTGAGTTGATTTCGGGTTACTTCAATCAAGTTTTTAACATAAAAATCATATATTAAGAACTCAATGAAAGAGATAATGTAATCATAATCATACAGAACACAAATAAACACAACCAAAATTCTTGCACAAATATAGAGTTCACTGCTTAAACAAAAAAGGTAAGACATTCAATTGGATCGAGTCATCACTCTTTTCCACATAAAATTATGATTGTAGAGGAATGTTTAGCATTAACAGCTTAGCTTGGTAGAACAGAACTAAAAGATAAACGTCCAAATGGCAAAACACTGGAAAGTACTAAAAGGACCCAAGATTTCTCATATGATTATCCTAATTGGTTCGGAATGACCATTTCAATGCCTTTAGCTGCCGGAGATTATTTGGAGTTAAAATATAAAATTATTGGTTATAGTTTGTACCTGAAGGCACATAGTAATAAAAAATAATAAACAATAAACATATTTGTATTCATATCCAAAATTAAATCACAAACATAAAAAATAGATAAAAGAATTTAAGCATCGGTTTAGAAGGAGAGTGAGAGGTGGTGGGCAACAATAGTGGTAATAGGAGACGGTGATAGTTGTGGTGGGTGACAATGATCGTGGTGGCAGCGAGGACAACAACAATAATGGTGGTGATGGTGGTTGTGGCAGCGACGACGATGGTAGCGACAATGAGGGTGTTGGTGACGACGGTTGTAGTGGGGGTGGGGGCGACAATGGCGGCGACGACGGCAATGGCGATGGTGATGGCGGTGATGATGGTGGCGGCGACAACGGCAGCGGCGTTGGTGGTGGTGGTGGTGGCAGCAATGACAGTAGCGATAGTGGTGGCAGTGGTGATTGTGGCAGCAACGACAGTAGCGGTAGTGGTGACGGTTTCAAACACTATTTTTGTTTAAAGAATTTATGAAAAATAAAAATACTTTTAAAAAGTCACTCCAAACACACTGTTAGAGCTTATTTTTCCTATTAAATTTAAG